GATAAATGAATTAGAAATATGTAAAGATGTATTTGTTAAAGGAGTACCGGGAAGTGAAACTTTCTCCGTTGAAATAGTTTTTAAATTAGAAGAAGAAGAAGAAGAATCGATTGATTTACTTGAATATCTATCCGGTTTTATACGATGTAGTGAATTCAACAAATTATCCAAAGTGCTTAAACGTGAAGCTAATAAGTATGAATGAGCTTCACGTTTACTATCATTGTGTATAAGATACATATTAAAACACCAACCATTTTGTGCTAATGCATGTAAATCATCCTGAAAGTGAAATTTAAACAAACATACACATATTTTAAAGTAATTAGAATGAATATTTTTTTTAATTAGGCAAAAAACGTGAAAGTATAAGTAAATCTCATTAAAAACGTCTATAGTAGACTAAGTGTTACATACATATATCATTATTTTGTTCCCTTGGGTTCCGAGTGAATCATAGGGCTTCAACAACACATCTCCATTTTGTCCTATTTTCTGCTGTTTTCTCTATCTGGGTCCACGATTGCTCATAGTCTCTGATCTCCTCCTCGCACGATCTTCTCTATGTCACACTCGGGCACCCCACACGTCGTTTCCCGTTCAGGTTCCACTCGAGTGCCTGGCGCTCTGTGTCATTCAATGGTCTTCTCAGTGTGTTCCCATTCCATCTCGATTTTCTCCTACATGTGTTGAGCAATCAGCTCGTGGTTGGTTTGTTGTCAGAGTTCCTTGTTGCCAATTCTTTCTAGCCATTTGATCTTCAATTTGGAGCGAAGGAATAATGTTTAGCAATATAATAGCATTACCCGTTTATTGCATCAAAGCATATCGATTGATATTAAATACGCACGACTTTTTTCCTGTGTTTTGAAGTTTCTGTAGCGATTAAACTGATCTTCAGGAGTGGGGTTGCTAGCCCCATACTCAACCATCTTCTTTTTTCCGGACTTAGGATTGCTTGGGCAAATGTGGAGCTAGTTTAAAAGAACAACAGAGAACAGAGCGGAACCCTATGTTTCACTCGGAACCCAAGGATGTAACCATAATGATAACTTAACGGTTAAAAACGTATAAACTACAGTAGATCAGCAACTATATGTACGTATCAAATCCACTGTGCAAAAGTTTATTATTTATTTTGTTGTCCAAACTTCTGCAGATACAGTGAAATCCCAGTCTGTGACTTACGGGTTGAAGGTTGAATGTCTAGATCAGTGGACTAGTGCTACATGGATTACAGAAATACATACAAAGGATTTATATATATATATATATAGAGAAAGAAAGAAAGAAAGAAAGAAAGAAAGAAAGAAAGAAAGAAAGAAAGGAAGAATATGATTATACGCGATCTAGAAAATATATTCATACAACTAATCGAACAGCCTGAAAATAATTTTCACTTAGTTTTATCATAATATCCAGGATCACTAAAATAATTCAAACTGATACTATTACAACACTTTCAGTTATTATAAGGAGATTGATTCTGGATGGGCAGAAGCTCTCTAAAAGTAAATCGACTGGAAGTTTTCCCAATGGGCGATGAAAGTAGATGTAATAGTTAGTATTCGCCAACTCTTTAGGTTCATGAGATAAACAGGTTGTAAAAACACCTCTGGTGAGTGAAATTATCTCCAAGATGATGGAAGAGACAACTGGGATTTCAAGCAGAACACTTTGACGGGAATTCCATTATACAATAATTCTGTTTCATAAAATACACAGTAATACAGCGTTAAGTATTATTTACTCACCCCACTAACTTGATTAGACAAAATAGCTTAACCTATAAAATACCTAGCAATGACTGTGAGGTCAACTACATAGATCACTCCGGTGAATGGAGTCAGTTACGTTATTGAAACATGGGAACATAGCTAAGTATAAAATGATTGACCCCGAAAGAATAATTAACTTGGAAAAATATCAGCAATTGCAATGTATGCACTAATACAATCACATAATAGAGTTCTAAAATATAATGTATTAAGGGGGAGGGAAAGGTTAATCACTGAATCTCTGTTCATCGAATCTACACCAAACATCTTTATTAGGAGTGATGGAACACTAATGCCAGAGCTATAGAAAGTATTATTAACAATAAAAGTAAAGGATAAAATACAATGGAGCTATATAAACGAAGTAGGAAATTTATGTGAACACCTTGATATGGTTATACACAATAAACTGTGCTTGAAGCGTTATCAGTAAATTACACTATCACTGAATGCTTTATCCAGTAAAATTATTGCGTGATGAAATTTTTTTCTACCATAGTGCCAAAATCTTATATTATATCAATGAAACTTTGAGGGGGAAGTTTAACTGCCCAACAGTTGCACGCCATATATCCCCAGCCTGAATGCTATGCAGACTTAGGTGAGCCAAATGAAGCTGAAGTCTAGTGACAAAACAGAAGGACTTGGTAGCATGACTTCAAAAGTGTTTAAGGAAGGTGGAGATAAATTATTGGTTAAATCGACTAAAGTATCAGTTGGCACGTGGGACTGAGATAGTTACATAGGAATGTTTGCAATAAAGGAAATAAATCTCCTTCTGATAATCTCAGGAATATAGCGTCTAAAATTCTAGGTTCCATTGTCATAAGAAGATCAAATGGAGTTCAAGAAAAAAAAGAAAACCAAGTAAGCTCCAGGCCTGGACGTGAATGTATTGATTGTTTCCTCACCATTTGACAGTTTCTGGGACGTTATCAACTATATATCTTAATTTGTAATTGCCGCTGGACTCCATCGTTCCAGAAGTACTACTGCAATGTCTGGCTTCGAAATGACCGACGAGTAAAGAAACAAGTAAAGAAACTTGGCTCCAAAGTATCCAGTCATGTAAGAGCCTATGAAGAGTTATCCTCTAAAATTACGACAACCAGCGAATTTCTTTAGTGATGCCTACTGTTGCTATTCTTATTTCACTTCATTATCGATGTACTAATGAAAGTGCCCCTGGTCGGTTTCGATTTTTCAAGGATTGACCTGTTACCAAGGTAAACTTGCCTATTTAGATTATGTAACAATATTGTCCATCTAAGTGAAGATGCATAATAATTTGAACGTAATATAAACATCCTATTTTTCTGACTTTCAACTATAGCATTTCCGATTATAAAATTACCAAATTTGTGTCCAGAAATGTAAATATTATGCAGTTATTTTAGAATGGAGATAGGCTATCTTTGACTGCCAGATATTAACTACCTCAAAGGTTTTCACTAATGAGTTTACAACCTGAAGTAAAACAAATACAGTAAGTAGAACATAATACCACCATTTCTTTTAAATTCATCTCAATAAAATTCACACATGACAAAACTCTATGTTTGAATGACACATAATAACTTACCATAAGAGTAGGGGCTCTTGATCGAGTTTTAATTGCTTCCTTCCATAGGAGCTGTAGTTCGTATAATGCTTCATATTCCAGATAAAGACAACATAATTCATTGCATGACCATGAGGATATAAGATTTCGAAACTGTTTGATAGCATAATCAGTTGACATCGAAAGACTTGTAAATAAATCCTTCTTTTTGGCAGCAGTATTGTTATTGCACTTTTCACTTTCATTCAGGCGATTGGGTAGATCAACGTGAATTTGTTCTTGATTGGCGAAAGAATATGGATGAGTTACTCTTGCGGGAACATTTGAGTTTCTAGATATAAACCCTTGAGAATCAAAACAATGCGACTGACGTCCACTATCTGAGTTAGGTGGATACGTGTCGGAGTTTATATGGTGATGTACTAATGAACTTTTGCAAGTGCAGTTGTATGCATTAACAGAAGCTAGATTTGTTATAACAGGAGTGGATGGTTCATTCACAGGTAGTGTACTAGTTTTCGTCCGCGAAGGGCTAGATACTGTATAGCCAGCAGGACATTTTTTAGGGCAACGGCAAAATCCAGACAATTCTTTCCGATGGTTTTTGTTACTAGTTCCGAAACCTGTACATCCCCAGGACTTGTCCAGATTGGAAAAGGATGATCCCATTTATGACAACGTATGCTGAATATATCTAGATTACTCCATCTGGACGACTGACAGTTAAACCTTATATGAAAAATTCAGTAAGATATACAATACGTTAGACTCACTTAACAATCAAAAATGTATAGATAGGAAAATTTTCACCTATTTATAGTCAACCAGTTGAGTTTACATCACTCATTTCATCAAATCGATAAAATTCAATAAGGTCAGCAGAACTACTGAAAATAGACAACAGCAAAATTTGACAGGAGTAACAGTGCTTTGTTTCTATTTTGTGCATGTCCGAGGTGGATGAAAAAATGCTTTCTTTACAGTAGTCACCCTGGATATAAACAATACATTTCGAATAGCACGTCTAAGCGTTGTGAACAACGAGATGTCATAAGTGCCATTCATGAGCTAGTAGCCAAAGTAATTTCGATTACCACGTTTTACTGTTTATATCTGATGTGGTAATTATAGATAATACCTAGTTGCGTAAATAGTAGTGGATAAAATGTAGCTCATTACTGTACAATAGTTGACAGTTACGTTACCTCCCTGGAGCTTTAATTACTGTGTCGAATAAAACATCTTTGATACACCACTGAAATGAAAAAACCGATGCGCATTTTGTCACTTTTACCTATTTTCCTTCAACCGACTCATGTCCTCTATGTTCAAGCAAATATCATTTGTACTCAGCTTGTTTTATTTGTATAGAAATTACGCTTATTATTATTACCCCCTTCAGTACGATTTTAACGTCAGTCATGGCTCGTAATACTTACCCTGAATGCGGATAAAAACGAGTCTACAACTTTAAAAGCAGAACGCTACAAATAGTAATTAAGCGGGTAGTACCGTCTGCTACAAAAAAATAGGCGTGGTTCATAACGTAGTATAGAGAAAATCGGTTCTGAATAACCAAGTTCTAAATAATTTAATATTTTAAACGACCAGGAAAGCCTTAATATGTTTTAAGCCTGGTATCTACGACAGGCTTGCACAACCTGAGGTATTTGTAGAAACGAAATAAGCAGTAGTAGTTTAGGAGAAAATTGTCGTTAACCAAGACAGCAAAGAATATTATTATTAGTTTGAATAAAAATGTTATCAAAAGAATCACGATCAATACATCTAGTTGTCGGAATTGGGGTCATAATTCAGTTGCCTTCTAGCCGTACTACAGAACCCTTTAGTGCAATACACGTGAGTATGTGGTGGTTCATGCCACTCGAAATAAAACTAGGCCTGCTATTTACACTTAGCAGCCACACACGATTAATGCTACATGAACTCACAAAAATGTAATAGTCTCCAGGAGATTACTTCTAGAGATCAAGTATTTGACGATACTATAATAGTAATCTCTGCTAGATCAACCCCTAAGCCGTCGACATGATCATCGCGTCATAAGCCTTATTATTGATAGGGTACCATCTTATACACCAGTTGTGTTTTGTTCATACGCTTGATGGGTTTTTAGTCAATTATTTATGGGTAGTCACATGAAACTACAGGCAAGAGATAAATGAGCATAATTATAACAGAAAACTATCGTTTGCTCTACACTTTTAGGTACACAAAAGCTTATCACCGATCCTTATACTGAATACGTACGAAATAAATACCTACCAAGTGTAATGTGCCTTTAGAGACATCGAATGGAGTAACATTAAGAAAGTGTATTTTGTTGCTTCTTACCCATGTTCCATTAAATCGAAATTACCCCTTTATCTCATATTCAACTTTCCTTATATAGGTATAATATATCATACGATTTGGTACGCTATCACAGTGACAAAACACTCACCTAGCACCAAACAATACCTTTTCCAGCGGTTGACATGCTGTGTTTAAGCTGGCCTACACATACATGATAGTCCAAACACTAGCGAAACTATTTTAATGAAAGAAAGAACAGTAACGCTCAAATCAACCATAGCGCCATTCAATTCCAAGACCCTACCAGTAGTTTTAATTTCAAAATGTTTCCACGCAGAATATCTTGCCTTAATCCTTTCGATCAGCTATTTGCGTCTTTAAGGTCTAATTTTGAGGATTTGGGCGGTGATGCAGAGACCTCAAAAGAATTCACGTCTCCATTGAACTTTACTCAGTGTCATTATTTTCACCAGGCTGTACAACTGGTATCAGTCTTCCGTCCAACCCCAGCGGAATCTTCTCACCACTCTCGCACATCCACCCCATTACTCCTCTATTCAAGTTCTAATCGACAGCCTCCCTGGAGTCCAATATCACTCAACAGCGTCCTCAATGTACGTCCAGTCCACCAACATTTCCTTTAGCATATCTGTCGTGCTTGGTTTGCACGCTGACTCTGTTCCTTTGTTGCTTATTCTTTCTGTCCATACGATACTCAGTATTCGGACAGTGAATGCAACTGCTGATTAAAGTCTGCAACACGTTGGAAGTGCTTTGCGTGACGCACGCACCGATTTTCTGAAACATATAGAAGCATTTGTTTAACAATAGTATTGAAGATCCCGATATTTTTCTGTGTGCGACTACAGTGGACCTAATATCGATTAAACCTCGTCTTGCTTTAATGATTTCGCCCCTAAATTCTCATCTCTACTGCCTGTAGTTCAAATGATGCCTCCTAGATGAGTGAAATAAGCAATTTTCCCCTTGATGGTGACTAGCGTTTGTTATTGTTAGTCGTCGAGTATCCTTTCTGTGTTCACCTCAGACCCTGGCTTCGCTTTTCCTTCTGTCAACTTGTTGGATCTCTCCTATAAAATTTCAGGTTACGCTATATAAGAAACAAATCTTTCGAGAAGTCTCAACTCCTTAGAATGTTTTGTTGGCCCGACATTTGTTCGTCTCTCGGTCCCTCAGGGCCTGTTGTACGACCCAAACCACTATAATCAGGGATACCATAAGGGATAGTGGGTATTCTTCTGTTACTCATGTCCTCACTCTGAAGGCTTCGCTGAATATTCGTTTTGAATCAATTGACATTGGGCATTATGATTTGGCTGTTGAATTAGACAGATACAGGCTTAGAAAACTCTGCAGTACTGACGTTATTATCGAAACAACCAGCGATCTTTGTCTGCTTAGCTGACTGCTAGGCTAACAAATGTAGGTGGTTCTTATGATTGTTGCAAGTGCAGTGCAGCGGAGAAGGCGATAACCTGTTTAATTTTCCTCACTGTTTCATTTAGTGCATTAATTCAGTGTATAGTTTTATTATACACATGGATTAGGCTGATTATGAGAACAGAATCTAGTCAGCTCTGTTATTATTACCAATCTATTGTATGTTATACCACTTCCAGCGACACTGTATACTGAATGCTGCAATATTTTTGATCATAAATTTCTCCTGAAATTTCCATTTGCGTGAAGCAGTATAGATGTTGTGTCACGATTCAGTGTGTAGGTTGCGTTGTTATCCTCATCGACATAATTCGTCAGTGTATCTTAGAATATTTTAAGTACTTCTCAATGCCATTAACATTGTGCACAATTGTTTAGAGTTGAGATCTATATGCCTTATATTTGATGGTTGTAGTTTACTAAAAGTGCAAACGTAATTTCTTTAGGATTCGAAAAACCATCTTCACTAGACATTACTGAGATTGTGGATTAATTTCTTAGTTATACGCTTGCAAAACTTCTTTTAAAGTAAACGTTAATAATCTGAAAGTAATCTCAATGATAGATTGGCGCCTTAACAGTATGGATGTTTCAGAGATCGTCTTGAAATTTGCGTACATTCCTCTAATGCTGTGAAACATATGGGATCCGTTTTTGCATATGGCGTCAACATAAAAATCAGCTGTGGACTACAGACACTTTCATTTGCATGAGAATTTTGCTTAGTATTAATAGAACCATTGTATCCACTTTGTATACTTATATGTAAAATTATCTCTCATAACTTCATTTTTTTCTAATCCTTACACATGCTTCATCTTCTTAGGTATATGTAGGTTGTCGAGTATGAAATCAGCGAAAATGTTGATCGGTCAAACCAACGCGAATACCTTTCGTCAGAGTTTTCTTTTGCAAATTAATGAAATGCCTAATATGCCCTTCATTTCTATTTCTGGACTTTCTCTGTGCACATTGTAAATGCCATGTAGTATTTATCAAGTTGAAGGATAATACTCTGCTGTTTGATATCTTATTTAGCGAGTTGCACGTCCGTATACTGTTAAACGCCAAGTATGTAGTACAAGTGGATTCAGTAAGTTAGGGTTGATCGCTACTTCATTATTCTGTTAATATGAAGTGACGTCACCAAATAGACTGCTTACCTGATAATAAAATAAGCAACAATTTTTATTTGTTTCTAATCCACCGCTGAATCATGTAGTACTAATTAATATCCAACACCTTTATGATCAATAATTGCAGTACTTGTATATCTACTTTGTGGATATTGAATTATTTACGGTTTTATACATCCATAAGGAACTAACAAACTTTAATGACGCCTCTTTATCTTGCTTGACGTGTTCTTCCTATAAAGAACTCATCACAGCATATCAGTCTGAAGTGTATAACACATGTAAGCGTAGTGAATATGAGTTAGATATGTAAATCAAAGTAAACACTAGTACTTCACGATGGTTTTATTCAACTATTAATTCACTAGACCAGTCTGATGACATGTTCATCCCATAACTGCACGAAAAAAAACCGAAAACATCTCTAACTAGTTATACTTTTAGATATAGTCAGCGTACGCTGCCTAGTCTCCTAACGGATTGTCTAAAACTACGTAGTTACCTTAAGATAGTTTGCACTGAAGGTAACTATTGGCACATAAAGGTTGAATATCGTGTCTATGCGAAACGACTACCCTACTTATCCAATGGTATACTTTAAAGAGGAACCGACGAAGTCAATGAAAACAAGTATGTGGTGATCCTAAAGAGGGCCATTACATGTTCTCAGTGAGGTTTTACTTTTTCTTCTTCCATTCCTTCCACTGGTTAAATGAAGACAACAGAAAGGCATGCGCGTATTTCACATAACCTGCATTAACTTGTCAGTCAAGAAATTTGCAAAACTGTCGCTTCAAATATTGGTAGTATTCAAAGTCACAGTTTTGAGTCACCGGTGCAACAATTGTCGTGAGTAGCGGGTTTAAGATAGCACAAATCAGTCGCCGACAATTCCTCATAGTAAGATCAACTGTATTGAATGTTTACTATACGTCTCACTTAAATTCCGAATGAGGATAAGTCACATGAACAATCATCATAAGACGAAATGGACAAATGCAGGTGGTGAAAAATCCACAAGTGAAATTGCATCTTGCCCTATCAACCACCGGGTGTGTTAATCCACCGACGAAAAACACGTTATCGGAAATACGGTTTCTTGTGCCGACCCTTCTTACCCTTTTAAAATCTGCAACTACCTTTCTGCCGGCATATTCTGTTAATTTAAACAATAAAGATTGCAAAGTAGGTATCCTGTTGTCCACCATTCGTATCTCAACATCTCGTTCACTTTTCTTACTTTGCAACCTCCTGTCACTCCACCGGTGAACCTCTCACACACATCTGTGTAGAGTATTAGCTCTCGGCAGATTCCGTTTCATCGACCTGTGCAAACACTCAACACATTTGTTAGCGTCATTGCCATGTGACAAAACACTACGGCCGAGTGCTGGTGTCCACAATTTCTTCGAAGGTAGCCACTGTCTGTGTATGTACCTCCAGAACGAGGATCTAGATGGTGTATGATAGTGATGTATGTGTAAAATCTGTAAATAAATTTGTGATCATTTCTAAAATTTACCCTTCAATTGATTCCTCGTAAATCATACTGGATATGCACTGCCTGAAGAGTTTATCTTTCGTCTAAAGTAATCCTCGAAATTCACAACGCTTACCTTCTTACACATTGCACGATAAAAGTAATGAGCAAAATACTATATTGCAAAGTGGGTGAGTTGTCCCCACTGCACCTCTTAATGATTTTGCGCAGTCCATGACGGAGGTTTCGGTATTACACGTTGAGCCCATAATGCATTTAAACCTATTCAGGATAGTTGTTACATCATATGCCGGAAGAAAGGTGGGTGTGGATTTTTGAAGAGTAAGAAGGGCCGGCATCGGAAACCGTATTTCCAACAACGTGTTTTTCGTCGATGGATTTGCACATCCAGTGGCTGACACTGCTCACATCAACTCTGGTCGTGGTCTCTTCACTAGGTTGACTCA